TCTATGCTTACAGCCAAAAGACAAAGGAAAATCCGACCAGACAATACTATGAATTCTCACAGACCATAACCGAAAACACTATTCTAGCCTAGCGACCCAGCTAATGTGCGTTCATCAGATTTTTCTTCCATGAGTTGATTGTTGACGGATGAAAAACAAGAAAGAGATACAAGAAAACATTCAAATCCAAGAATCAGGATGAAGCCTAACATTCTGCACTATAACTGGAAACTTTACATGAAAATGACAATCAGATGCTGAAACGAATACAGATTATCGAAGACTATAGTCGTTAAATTGTAATGGTGGAAATCATTGTTTTACTTGTCAACAGTCTACGCAAATGGCTCTAGCCTTGGCCCATGATCTCCTTGCTTAAGATAAGCAAATAGAACCACTCCACTTCAGCTAGATTTAAACTTCAGGAAACCAATACTTAGAATCGCAGATAAAAGTGGTCTACAACGATATAACTTCAGCGCGAAGCTATCTATTGGATTAAAAATCTTCAAGATCTGAACCATTCACATTGGAGGGTCGAGGCAAGTGAATTTCTCAATAACTATCCCTTTGATCTCTTTTTTCTCAGGAACCAAAACTGAAATTCCGGAACTAGGGTTAACTCAAATCCATATCTTTCAACCCAGATCGAACAAATGCCGAAGTATCACAGCAAGAATCAGACAAAAAAGAATTCATCTCAGTAGCCACGATTAACAGTTGCCAATCGCCTACATTTCTCTCGAGGATCGATCAAAATTGAACTCCGAACGAACAACTTCAAATAAATGCTAAAAATAAAGAATTTAAGACAACCCAAATGTCGGAAAGACAGAGAAACAATCGCAGAAGTCTCACCTTCAGAAGATCGTTCATGGTCGAAGCAAAGCAACGATAAACTCCAAAAGTCGGAAGGAAAACAATGCAACAAAAGAAAATTGGAACACTGGGAGATCAAAAGTTTTTGTTTGATTTTTGCTCCTTTAATTTCCCTGTCCTAACTACCAAAAAAAAAATCAAATTGGAATTTAAAAAAAAAAAGGAAGAAGAAACGAGGAAGAATTAGGGTTTTAATTCGAAAATATATAGTTCTTGGTGTTGGAAAAAGCAAACAAAAAAAAGCAGATAAGCGAGACAAAACTGAGAGAAAAGTAGACAGGCCGTCGAGATCAAATGGGATCCTTCGTGTAGAATTAACGGCTGGGATATTTTAGATGTATTGAAGTCAGTGCACATGCGTCGCAGAGGATGATGGTTTTTGGGGTCTCTTTTTTAAAACGGAACGGGGAAAAAAATTCAGCAACGGAACTGTAAGTGAATTGAACTTCTTTCTTTCTTTTTTGGGCCTTTGGGCGGTGGTAACTAGAATGACGAAACTAGCCTTACAGAGTTGTCATAGCTGGACAGGGGGATTATCTCTTTTACCCTCAATGTGCTAAATGGACTTCTACATCTACCCTCCTCCTATCCAAAAAAAAAATTTACTTCCAAAATACCCTCTCAAATGTACATTGACCAAAATAACCTTATAATATTATTTTATATTTATTTTTTAAAATAAAAATCAGTATTCTCTCTCCTCAAAACTAGGATTTCTCTCTCCTCCATTCTTCTCTTTCGATTGAAGCTTTCTCTCTCTACATTATTTTCTCTCTCCTCTGAAATTGGGATTTTTTCCTCAAATTTTGACAAAATCATAGCAAAATCTGTATGAAATCAAACAGAAACTTAGAAATATATAAGCGGCAGTCGAAAATCCCCGTCTTTTTATGAATATTGATGGTTTTAACGTTTTTTTGTATATATTTTTTTAATTATTTACTAAGCTTTGTCATAGATCCATATCAAATCTGTGTTTAAGTGTTTTTAGAATATAATTGAGTCATAGATCACACAGTTATCTATCACAATAGTCAAAGTGGACATATAGAGCACAAAGGTAACAATGTGCATATCGTTCATGGATTACAACAATAATACGGATCACAATAGATAGGTCATAAAGGTTACATACGGGCACATAGTCATATGGGTCACGAGCCATTAGGATAATGATTGACATAGATCATTAGGGTGATAAGGTCATATGGTCACACGGTCCCATGGTCACGTGGTCACACGGTCTCATGGTCACATAGTCACATAGTCACATGGTCTTTAAAGCCTAACATCGTATATTGACAAAGTGTTACGTGAATGGTAGGAGAACGTCTACAACAGGAGGAGAGAGAAACCGCAAAATGATAACGGTTGTGAATGTGGTATTTTTGCAATAAAGTATATTGATGCAATTTATCTTGGTAAACAACAAACGTTATGTCCCTTGATATGTGCGATAATGTCTCCATGATTCATGAGTAGTTGGCAGCCACAATATTTGTTCATGGCAAGGTGACGAAAAAAACGTGAATTTTTTTTTTACCAAGTGACTTATTTTTTGTGTTTGGACATTAACTATGACTCCCTTTTATTTGTTTCGTAAAATCCTAAATTATGAACTTTAATTTTTTGTTTTTGATTATTTTGTATATGAATTTATATATGAACTTGTCGGCGAGAACGCCTAATTTGTATCTGAACTTATTTATGAACACATTATTATATCAATACAGTACATCATTAATTATTCAAAGGAAACATTAACATCGACAATGTCGGAGAGAACGCCTAATTTGGAATGAAGAGACAAAATTTATTTAATAATGGTGTACTTTATTTTGTGTAATAATGTGTTAAAAAAATTTGTATAATAATGTCCAAAAATATTTGTATAATAATGTTATATTGTGTTTGTACAATAATGTATAAAATTTTTTGTATAATAATGTATTAAAATAATTCTGAGTAAATATAGTTACCCAATAATTACTATTTATTTTAGCATATATGTGACTCTTATTACACACTAAATAAGTTGACTCATATGAGTCATCGTTGTGACCCATTGTGACCAGCCTGTGATCATGTGACCGAAGTGCAATTTTGCACTGTGTGACCATTGTGACCGACTGTGACCTGTGACCGAAATGTATTGATAAATCTAGGTCAAAATTCAGTTTTTAAACTTTGGGATGGTTTATCAGAGTCTATATATCAAATATATAGCGTGTATGAAAAATTTTCAAAATATTTTAAGGGGTTTGTAAATGAAATATACCAAATTTATCAAAGTTACTCATAAAACATTATGAAACATATAGGAATACATTTGGAATAACAACTTTGAAACATAAAAATAGTAAAAACTATATTTTAATGTTCGAAACAATATAAAATAGGTTTATGAGAGACGTGTAACATTGTAGAGTGATTAAATTAATAAAAATCGCATGGATCGAAGGTTGTGACCGGTTGTGACCGACTGTGACCCATTGTGACCGAAATTTACTGTCCCCCCGTTGAAAGCAATCCACGGAGAGAGTCAGTCATGCTGTTAAATTTACTCAATGGACTTGACAAAGTAAACAACTTTCACTTTCATTATCTCATTTTTTGAGAAAAAAAAAATTGATTGATGTTTTTCGAAATTCAGAAATTCTAGCAATGATCATTTGGGTGTGTGTGTGCGCGTTTAGTTCTGTAGGAAACCTGAATTGGTCCATAGCCATGCCTCAAATTCTCAAATCTATACTCCATAGAAGTCTCTGCGCAAGTTTGCATATGTACTCGTATTCAATCGTCTTTTTTTTTTGGATAATCGGATTTTCTGGGCCGAGACCCAAACTAATATCGGGACCGGGAGCCAGCCATGTGATTTGAATTATGCGCTTCCTCTCCAATCTGGAATTCGAATTCGGGGCGGAACAGATGTTGTGCGCTCCATTTCACCGGTTGAACTACCCAGGTTGGGTGTATTCAATCGACTTGATGACTCTTCCATCACAAACACCCTCTCGATAAACACCCTCTCGATTGCATCTCGGCACAGAGATGATCTGTATCTACTCCCAACAATATGACATTCTCGGATCTTTTATTCTGCACGAGACCAGACTCCCGCGCCGAAGATTCATATCTCGAGTCTAACCATGTTGAATTTTTATGAAAGCCTTTCATTTGCTTCTCTTCGATGGAAGTTTTATTTATTTTGATTTACTTATTATTTATTTATTTACTATGGTATTTTATATACTTATATAATTATAATTCTTTAACAGCAAGTCGATATGTCCGAGTGGTTAAGGAGACAGACTTGAAATCTGTTGGGCTTCGCCCGCGCAGGTTCGAACCCTGCTGTCGACGACAATTTTTTTTCCTCCCTCGTAAATGATCATTGATCCATGTGATGTGATTTTCGATTCAGACACTACAAGGCACATATCTGACACTAACCCAAGCATTGATGAAGCTTTGTTTTTGTGTTCCTTTGAGAAAGAACTCTTTGTTGAGAAGGAGAAAAAGAATTGAAGTTACACAAGAACAATCATACTCTCTCTCTACTTGTGACCGATCCTAAAACAAAACTCAGAGCCCCAAAGGGGCCCAATTGAATCATGTATGCTTTAACATCTCCTATATCTTCTCATCTTTGAAACAAGATGAACATACTTTCCTCTCTCCACCATGTCTTTTATTACCTCGTCAGCCTCCCAAAACCTCCCGGCATCCCTCAGATAACTCACCAGTGTACTGTACACGACGAAATTCGGCTCACACCCTCTTGATTTCATCTCCTTCAGCAATGAGCATGCCTCCTTGAACTTTTTCGCCACACAGTACCCTCGGATCATTGAATTGTACGTGAAAACATTAGGCAGCTGCCCTTTGAGCGTCATCTCGTTGAACATCTCTTCCGCCTTCTCAAACTCCCGGGCTGCGATGTATCCCGTGATCATAACAGTGTAGCAGACCACATCCGGCACGAACCCTGCTTTCGCCATTTCGTCGAAAAAGTAATTGCAAGCTGCCAAGTTTCTTGCCCGACTCAGGCCGTCTATCAACGTGGTGAAATGCAGAACTCCCGGGATGATCCCCACTTCCCTCATATGCTTCAGCAAGTTGAGAGCAGCAAGAGGTTTATCTCGTCTCCCGTAAAAATGGAGGAGAATGTTGTATGTATGGAGATCTGGAGTGATCCCTTTTTCACCCATTTCCTCAAACAGCCGATAAAACTGATCTAATTTCCCGAGCCTATAGTTTGCACACATGATGATGTTATAAGTCAGAACATCCGGTGAAAACCCATCTGCTATCATCCGCTGATATACCCAATCGATCAATCTGCACTGACTTATAACCAGCAACGAATGCAAAATCGCATTATACGAATGTTTGTATGGCCGGAAATTGAAACTCTTCGATTTGATGAACTGCTCCACAACTTGTCTTGCGACGCCAACTTCACCACAGGTACATATCAATATATTAAAGGTCCGTGCAGTGGTCGGGTAACCGTCATCGATCATCTCATCAACCAGCCTCCACATTGCCTTATACTCCCCACACTCTGCAAATATCTTCATAAGTAAGTGATATGAGTTGGCCGTGTGTCTGAAACACTCTTGTTGGCTACACCATAGGAAGAACTTATATGCTAGCTTCGCACATCTGGTTTTATTATCAAAACTTATTGCCCTCAAGATCCCCAGAAGAACCTGTCTTACGAGAAGAGCCGAGACTCGAACACTCAACTCGTCTAAAGCCGATTTCGTATCAAATCCCGGCCCATCTTGCAATAATGTCTCGAGAACCCGTGAAGCATCAAGCTTGGCACTCTCCAAAAACCTTCTCCTAACTGAAAAATCTCTTTGGTCGCTGCTCTCATGTTCACACAGTCCTAGCTTCTCATCAAAAACACCATCAGAGTCCAAAAATTCCCAGGTTTTGTTCAGGGGTTCTTCGAAATGATGGAAACCATTATCTGTCTCGTCACCACCGAAGCTCCTGTCGCAAAATTTCCTTGATATGGCAAAAAAGCGAAAACCGTTAAGGATTACACTCCTTCCGAAAGGAAGTGCGAGGTTCATACTTCAGCTCAATCCAACACTGATGTCTCCCCATTATCTCTGCAACCTTAATGATCTAAGCAAGCTTAAGAAACCCAGAACAACAGAGAGAAACCTCGCTAGGTGTAACCCATCAAGCCTCGGATTTCCGATTCCTGAAAAACCCATCAAAACGGCAATTTCCTGGATTGGAATCTAGGGTTTTAACTTTTAACCCGCTGAAGCCTGAAGATTCTACTTGAAGAGGGACCGTATCGGTGAAAAGAGAAGAAGGGCTGTGAATTACCTGACGAGGGACCAGAGTTTTTTAGTTTACGAACTGAAATCCAGTTCAGGTCGGAGGCTGTTCTGTATCACTTCACGGGGGGGGAAGATGACACTGGGGAACTTAGGTATTCCGCACCACACTGAACTTCCGGTGGTCCAACCAATAAGAAAAGCTCACGTCATCCTCATTGTCCAATAGAGTGGGCCGGATCGGACAAGGCAGCCCATCCAGTTTAATATAGCCCGGGTCTAATCATGACAATAATCTTTTTATATTTATATATATCGCATCTTTTGTATATTTGATTTACCGTATGATATAAGTGGATTATAAATAATATAAGTGTATACATATGTAAAATTTAAAAAAAATTATGAAGGAAATAAAATATATATGTTTTTGGCATATTTCATAAAATTATTAAATTTTCCATTTGTCCTCATCAAGTCGTAATTTGCGTTTGCTCTTAGACACGGGAATTATAATTCTATCGATGCTGGTTAGGTATCGTCTTTTAACTCTTGGTTATTCACATTCATGCGTTGTCGGTCATTGCAGGAAAATCGCGGGCTCTACTATTCGGCCCAAATTAAGAAAAAGCCCATTAAGAAAGTCTATTAGGCCCAAGGAAAGTATGAACCCTCCAAGCGAAGAAGAGGTTTCCCCTGAATCTAGGCCTTTATTTTAAAAAAAAATTTATTTCACATGATTTATTACTAAAAACAGATTTAACAAAATCAGTGTCTGGATATAAGAAATTTGGGTCACCCAACAGAAGATATTTCTCGGGGAACATAAATAAATTGCCCAAAATCTATTGATTGAAAGGAAACTCTCTTCCCATTAAATTAAAATCATTAAAATTTTTGTGAATTTGGTTTTATCTACTTTCTTTTTCTTTTAATTTAAATTTTAAAAAAATATTAATCTTAGATATGGTCGCCTCGAACCTTTACCAAGAGGGCCAAAAAAAAAAATGTTGTCGACCGATATTTCACCGCACTCTCAAATTCACGTAGAGCAAATTAATGGCGGTTATCCCTCAGACAACGACGACAACGGGTCCTCCGATCTCTCTGTTTCTGCTAAGTACGAGGATCTTGTTCGCAGCTCCGATCTTTTCTGGGAAAAGCTCCGGTCTCTCCTCAGATTCTCCGGTAAATCTTTGAAGTAAGTTCTTCTTTTTCCCTTATTCGCTTTTAGGTTTTTTGTCGCGTTTTTTTTGTCTCTTGAGATCACTTATTTGGGATTGTGGATGAAAACCCTACGTTCTCTTCGCTTCGGATTTTCCCCTGAATGCGGTGGATTTTGATTGGTTGTTTAATCTGATCGAGATATATATCCGATTCTCTTCCTATTTGTCTCTGCTTGGCGACCAGCGTCG